GCCCCTAGTAGCGTCCTTGCTCCTAGTAGTAAGGCCAGGAGCCCCTGGTAGCGTCCTTGCTCCTAATAGCAATGGCCTCCAACCTAATTGATGACAGAAGCCAAGGCCGTTTGAACATCGGGTGGTGCGACAGGCGGATCACGAAAACACAGAGCGACCGGTTTTTGTGCTCATCCAAGGTTTTTCTTCTCTCGTTTTTTTTTTGTGTGATTGAGATGTGGCTCAAAAGTAGACCCGGGGGGACGGACCCACAGGTTTTAGTGATTTTTTACAATTAGCAAGTGGCTTTAGGGGCATCTGATTGGACCTAGCCATAGCCATGTAGCTTGGGCATCTTCGACTTCAAGCATCCTGCTGTTTTGACCGCGCGGACTGGTAGGTGTCCAACGAGCCTTGGCAGGAGCCGAATGCGCCGCATGCGCTTGACTTTTTGGGACTGACCGAGCCCATTGACACCCTCTGCGGCACAGAGTGGTATTTCCCTTCCCACTTTGAGCTAGTCACTCCTTCCCCTAGGATTTGTAGGCTTGGCTACCTCTACTTCTGCGACCTAACCCTGGGGCCGTGGCAAATTCGTGCCAGGGCGCAGGCGGTGCAGGTGTGGCCGTGAGGGCAGGTCTTTCTTTCCATGTCACCGCATCTTCACTATCTTTCGTTCCTGTGAAAGTCAAAGCCTTCTTGACCTTCGGGACCTTTGGTATGAGAGAAAGAACACCATTTCCTTAGACTGCGTTCCTGTTGAACATGTAAATCCTACTCTGATCAATGTGATGCTGTTGCGTGATCTCACCAATTTTGACAGCGTGTATTGGGGTCTTCAGACGGCGCGGCCGCGCTGCATGACCTCCTTCGGCCTTCTTCGCCTTCAGGCATTCGCTCAATGTCTCCAGCAGTGGTCCGGGGTATGACTCCGGTGATGTCGGTCCCAGCATTGAGGCTTCACACCTTTCTTGTTGTTGCACCTTTCTGAACTGGTTGTTTTCTCTTTTTTGCGCAGCTCCTGCGCGAATCGGTGCGCAAGTTCCATCGGTTTTGCCATCTTCAGTTTCTTTTTTGAACTTGTGTTCAAAAGCTTGCTGAATATTGAGTTTGTGGACATAGACCCTGACCCGGGGCGCTTTAGCATGTTCGAAAAAAATTACACTGCAGGTGAAAGCAGCCATACAACAAACAGCTGGAGAGTAATGCAGGTCAAGTGTCTCACAAAACCCTGCATGCTTCTGGGGTTAGGGCACGGTGCTTGTCATGCTGGTTTGTTGCAACCTTTGCAGGGCTGGGATGCCAAACTCTCCATCTACGGCCTGGGGCCGAATCCGTGGAGCTCAACAGGTTGTTAGGAACCCCGTCCTCAAGCTCCAAACCAAACAAGCTTGCTTCGTGCTGAAGACCTCATCACAGTCGGATACTGGCTTTCCAGAAAGTCAGCCTGTCTTTCTGTCCAAGAAGGACTTGGAATGCCATGTCTTTCTCCAAAGTACATGCCATGTTGAGGCCTCTCTCAGGGCTTTGTCACCTGAGACGATGGTGGCCGCTTGGAGTCAAGGAGCTGGTGGTGTGATCACATGAGAGCCCTCGGACACATTATATTTTGTTTTAACTCGCGGACTACATGAGAACCTTTGCTTAAGGAAATGGAACCTGGCATCTGCAAGTACCTGTGGGGTTGGCAAGGGTTCACCGTAAACTCCATGGCCGTGACTCAGAATAGGATCGGCTGGTCTTGCTTGAAATGATGGATCAAATACTGGCCGGCCACGGCTTGCACGCAGATGCTTGCACATGTCCCTTGTGCTGAGCTGGTCTTTGTTTGCTCCATTGGGACCTCAACACTAGAGTCACTAGAGACGTCAATCGGTGTCAACAGCCGACCTGCGGATTGGTTTGCCCGGCTTGCCCCCCCCTCCCCCCGAAAAGAAAAGAAAGAGCAAATCGTTTTTGTTGAGAGCGTGTACTGCAAGAAAAGCGCTTTGCACCCACCGAGTCCTACTGAGGCCATGGCCCTGCAATCGCCGCGGGGCGACATTGCTCGTGGCCCGACGGCAAGCGGTCAGGTCCCTGTAGGATCACCGTTCTTTCTCCACCGTTCGGAGCACCGTTGAGACGAACAGAACGATACTGGAGCCCAACTTTTGTTAGGATTATGGAGGCCTTGAAGACTAGGAACGACCTGAGCACTACATGGGCGCCGGAAGGTCTGAAGACTGGGCTCGGGGTCCAGGGTGACCATTTTGGTCACCATTCAAGCTGCAAGGCCCTGCAAGGCCTTGATTTGGTAGATTTCTGATACTGTAGTTAGTGTGGACATCTAGATTTCTGATTGATCCCGTGTCTTTCGATTTCCCCTTTTTTGGTTGTCCCGGTTTTCGGTGAATTGAGGTGGCCGAAGTTCTGAGCCCATGATGCGTGGGCCTGTGCGCTGGGGAGCTCAGGAGCCGTTTGGAGCCGTTTTACCGTTTTCGCAAGGCTCTCATTATATACAGGGTTTGTTGAATGCAGAGACTCTGCTTGTACGGATTCATTCAAAAAGAGAAGATGTCAGAAGCCTAAGGATCACATTTTTTCAAGGAATCTTCTTAATATACAACGATCTATACAAATTTATTGTACATAAATTGATTATCCCAATCTATTTGTTTTGGAAGAATCTTTCTGGTCTTATCCTGTGATTTTTCATTGAACTGCCGTGCTCAAACGCTCTCACGTTTGGTCCCAGGTCCAGATGCTCCAAGGCGATGACAAAACGATGCTTCGCAGCGACGTTTCGTCGGTCAAAGGAGTGACACGATGGTTGGCGTGTAGGTGGTGACACACCGCAGGTGGCCCGGCTTCTTTTCATTTCTACACCTTTTCAGAGTTATGTAAAAAACCAAATGCATTCTGGCAGTGAGATGAAGATGCTAGCGAGCTGCGCACTGTGCACGCATGCATGCCTACAGCCTGGATCTCTTTAGGTCTCCTTAGAAAAACGCAGGCGAAGAATGTTCAGCTTGTTTGTGTGAAGGTTACAAGTCAGTGGTCGGCCCTTTTGTGAGGACTCAGGTAGCTTTGAGTGCCGGGTCAGCTTTGGAGCTCCTCAGTACTTGTGGTAGCAAACAAAGGACCTTGGACCGTTCACCAGGCCATGGACTCGCCATTGCTGAGACCGAACTCGGAATGGAAGACCCCAACCGCAGAGTTGAACTTTGCCGCACAGAACTTTAATCCTTTTCTTTTTTCTTTGTTTCTAATAGTGATGGCCTCCAACCTAGGCCTCCAACCTAAGAGCAACGGCCTCCAACCTAGGGCGATGGCCTCCTGCCCTGCACAAAGAGACTGAACCTCTTTCTTCACTCGGCTCGGCACATCATTGGCTCCGGCCAGGCCTACGTTGGTCAACGTTCCGCAGCCTTTTGGCGGCGAAGTGAAGAACAAAGAACTTCCTTGGAGAAATATACAACTTGCTCTAAGGAAGGACCATTGCTGCATTTTTGCCAGAGAGATGCACCAAGGCTATCTGGAGCTGCATCTCCTCCTTTTGTTTGGGATGCCCAGGGTTTCTCCTACACAGTTCTTTTCTGCCTTCATAAAAGGCGGCGTTCTGGGATTTCTGCAAAGCATGTTGTCTTACAATCAACAGCCATCAGTGAAAAGAACTCTGATCTGAGATGAAATGAAGTCTATCAGCTGGTTTGCATTTGCAAATGCTTTCTCAGGGGAGGCTGCAGTCCTCGACGGAGCCCCAGCGGTTTTGCGTGAGCCATGAAGTGACGAAGAGACAGTTTTTGCTTTGTTGAGCTCGGTTTACCAAATCCCTCAGGGTGCATTGAAAGTGGTTTGGGCATGAAACACATTTACCGGTGTTCAAAAGGAGGCACTCGACAAAACCCTCTCCGGCTGATGTCCAAAACCTCGCTGTCGACAATGTCAAAAGCCTTGGAGGCCGCAACTGTTTGTGCGCTGTCGCGACCAGGCCTCGCGGGGTCCCTCCGACCTGGCTACAGCGAGCACCTGCGGCGCTGGTGCCACGTGGATGAGGCGATGTTTCAACTCAGCAGCGGTTTGGCGGTTTGCAATGGAAGAACATTCAGCTGTTTGGTCTTGACAAGGCGAACGTGCCACGTGTTTCGACAAAGTCAGAACCAGTGCCATGCAATAGAACCAGTGTCAGACATCACTGGACAATAGCATAGCATAGCTTTGGCATAATTACTGGAATAATGTTAGCTTGATCCCTACAACTCTCTAGCAGGTCTCAATGTCTGAGAGAGCTGTCAAAGCAACAAAGATTTTCAGACAATGGCATCTACACACTTCGGAAAGGTGAATTTTGTACCAAGCTAACTAGATTGAATGTAAAACCTAAATGTGAGGGACATTCCAGGCTGGCTGTAAAATCCCTTACCAAGCTTGCATGAGCTAATTCGATCAAAATGGATTCTGGAGTGGTCTTCAATTAATTACATCGTGGCTTACGATCTAACCTCGCAAGCTTCTGCTGCGCGACATGACTAAATATTTTTGGTGTGCTGGTGGCAAGAATCCTCACCTGCACTCTGCGGGTTTAGCCAACTGAAGTTGGCGAATTGGAAAAAGAGGCAAACGGCTTGGCCTGGGATGCTTGGGCAAGACAGAGCCTTTTCCTTGTAGCTGAGCTAGTGAGTGGTTGACAAGTTTGGGTCGTCACAGTGTCACAGGCAACTGAGAAGGATCGAATGAGTTTATCTGCAATGCGTGACTAGTCTGAGCCGTTTGTTCTTCGAGCAGGGCAGATCAAAGGATGCATTCTGACGCTGCTATGTTCAAGTGAATCATCATATTATATCAAGGGCCACTCAATGATAGCAGCAGCTTGGCAAATGTCCCCTATTGATTGCTCCTTTCATTCCATTCTCTTTGCTTGCATGGCAATCCATCTCGAAAATACATGAGGACCACAACGGCCAACTCCATTTGGCCAAGTGAAAAGTGAAAGCTTCTGTTTCAGACCAAAAGAAGTGGATCAGTTCGGACGGTTCTCTTTACTTTTGCAGAGTTGGTGCTGGCCTCTGCTACTTTGTTTCAGGGGCAAAGCCCAAGCGCTCCGCGAGCCTGTGGCGTTTTCCAGCGCCCATGGAGCCGTTGGGCGGATGGCGACCAAGGCAGGGAAATTCTATGGCCCCAAGATGCCCTAAGATGCACAGATTCTGCATCTGGGACCTTATTCTGCAGAGCAGCTAGACTCTGCTGTCGACTCTCTGTAGATGCATCCGTGGAGTGCAACCTCACTCGACTCTCCAACACAGGATCTGGATGGAGCTTCGAGCTCCGAGGCAAAGGCGCGGAGTCGAGAAGTGGGTCGAGGGATGTGGAGGGTGCAAAGCCCTATCGAAGAAAAGGAACCAAATGATACTAGGAGCAAGAAGCTACTAGAAACAAAGGGCATCGCTACGAACGGAGCGATCGGACGCTACGAACGGGGCTCCTGGCCTTACTACGAACGGAGCGTTCGGACGCTACTAGGAAGCACATGAATGATTGGTGCTTCGTGCTATCCTGCATCCCGTTCCTTGGAGCCAACTTCGCCGAACTGGTCTCCGAACTGGTCGCCGAACGGCCACGGGCCAAAAAAGGAAAGAGTTTCCTCAAAGAATCCATTTTTGAACTCTGAGGAGTCTGAGGAGTGTGGCGCTTGGAGGGTTGGCCAGAACAGGAGGATGGTCAAGGGTTGAGCAGATCTCTTTTGGGGGGAAAGTGGCAGAGGCGACGTGTTCTTTCTTTTTTTGGGGAGGGTGCCGGAGGAGTAGCTTGGTTGCCCAAGCACTTCACTTGAGCCCTTCATGAACGGATGCCCACGAACCCCGCGTGCGCTGCAAAAACGCCCCGGATTGCCTCGGTGTCGCAGGGCTGGCTGGCCAAAGTGCCGCCCCTGCCAGAATGGCCGGGCTCGCGCCCTTCTTCGGAGGTGTTGGTGGTCAAGCCGAGGCCGATGGCCATGGCCAGCATGCTTGTGGTTTAGAAGATGGTATACATTAGAATAGAGACACCCCTGACCCCTAAGCTGTTGTTCAAGTCTTTTTTTCCTCTTGGCAGGTGTCAAACTGAGAGAATGAGATTGGGATGTAACTTGAAGCCAATAGGTCCTAGCGGTGTTGCAAGCCCTTCTCCACCTTTGAAAGTAGCAAGCAAACAAAGACTGGTAACATCCGTCAAACTCTTGTGCCTGGTTGATGACATGCATTTCCGTGTTCACACATCGATTTGTTACAACCGCGTATGCAAGTCACCAGTCCGCAAAACCACACTCATCTCACAAGGTATTCTGGTGAGACACGGTACTAGAATCGACAGTTGAATCACACCATGATTGAACCTGACGTCAAACACACTTCTTGGGCACCAGCGTTTCTTTTCTGGATGTTGTCAGGGCGAATACAACTCGTCATTCCCCTCACAGAAATGTCGTTGGCCTCTTCCAGGCTACCGGATGAAGTGGAGGCTCTCTTTGCGGAGGCGGGCATTGTTCTTCCCACAAACAACCCAAATATGTCTAAATATCACATTTTTGTCAGACGAAGGTGGTTGACCTTTTTCTTTCTCAGTCAGATGGTTGACCGTCTTTTTCCTGCCGGTGGCGCTAGCACGACTGGGACAATCGCAGGCGGCGGCGCTGGTGGCTGCGCGACCTCGGCGCAACACGCGATTGCAGGTCCTGGAAGAGGAGGTGCGCAGGACTTTAATGCATGGTGGGGAGTTCAACCTATACCAAAAACTCGTGATGGATCTTTTTCAGAACTGACTTGGCGCTTTCTTTGCTGTTTGTTGATTATTTGTTGAGCACCTGAGCTTAATCTTTTGGGCAGTGTTCTGTTGTTTTGTGCTTAGTTTTTGCTGTACTTGCGGGTATGTTGCAACACTTACTGTAAGAAAGACACCCTGTTGATATTGCCAGACCTGGCAGACCTGGCAGGATTTCTGAAGCAGCCCAAAGGCCCAACACTAAAAGGGTGCTTCCTTGGCCAATATCGCACCTCAGCATCTGCATGTTTCACATCGTAGATGCCCCTCGTGGCCAAGACAACAGAATGAAATGGAGCTCACACAGAAAGCTCTTCTACCCTGCAATCAAAAGTGCGGCTTTTGCGAGAATGTGCAGGCACATGCATGTAGGCGAAGCCATCGCCGCGTCCGTGCACCGCACAAGGAGAAATGCAAGTAATCTGCGACATCTGAGTGTAATGCGTTTGAAATGCTCAATACTTGTCTCACGTTTGGCCAATGTTTCACCCAGGTTTCTCAGAAGCCGCCCTTATAGCGGCCCAGGTCTGATGGAGCCGAATTTATATAATCAGTATGTTATTTGAAGGTGAGTTGGCAGCTGCCATGGTACGATTCTTTGGCATGTGCATGCCAGATGCACCTGAAGGTGGCAAGAAAATAAGTTTGTTTGCTTGTGATGCATTTCAGAGTGCCTTCTCTTGTCTTCCCCTTTCCACGTGGCCAGATGCAGCGCCATGGTGCAGCAAGGAAGATTGCCTTGGCTTGGAAAGAACGAGCACTGCAGCGGCAGCAAAGGGCGGCGGGCGTGGTGCAGAAGCACTTCCGTGGTTTGCACGGACGCAGGCGATGTCAAAGGGTCTTTGGAAACAACGGGCTTTCGCTCGTCTTTCTGAAGCTAAAACCAAAAAGCTGTGAAAGATGCAGACTCGCAGACGCCAAAGTCAGTGGTGTAAGCTGCAAGGCACTTCCAGGCGGAGAAAAGGAAGCAGTGCGCCTGTCGGCTCCAGAGATGGTGGCGCAAGAAGAGGCATGGAGTCCCTGGAGTGGAATGAGCAGTGAGTGGAGCGCAGGTCGCGCGGTCTTGCAAACCAAAGTTTGTTTGGTCCCTGTCGTGGAAACCACGTGATTTTCTGGTCTATTCACAGTCAACCTCTCTCTCTCTCTCTCTCTCTGACTTCCGGACTCCTTATGGCCTTTTTAGCTATTTCATTCCAAGAAAAAGGAGCACCAATGAATCCATCACTAGCAGATACGCATTCGGAGGTGGCGATTTCTTTCCCTGAAGGTTCTATCTCGCGTGGTTTCGGACGCATATGCTGCGGAAGTGCGCGGTGAAGTTGCAATCCTGGCACCGCGGGAACAAAGCACGAGAAGAGGTGTCAAGGGGCAGGGAATCCTGTTAGACTTGGTTTCCAGCCCATTGCTCATGAGAACCGCCAGACAAAGGAAAACGATTTTGGTCATTGCCTCATTGGCCTTCTATTTTGTTCTCCGACATCCGACCTGGAACTTTTGGAAACAAGCAGCGTTGGTCAGATGGGACTCGTTGTTGGTTTGTCGGATGGGTCGAATGGTCACTTGGGACCATGCACAAAGTACATGTCAAAACACATCTCTCTCCTTGGTGCTGCGAAGACACGGAGCAAAAGCCGGGACATGACAGTTGCATGATGCCTTGAAGTATTCCATGAGTAGTCTGTGATTTGCTGTATATGTGATGTATGTAACACTCCTGTTGTTTCCGAGTCATGAACATCGTTGCTCGCCTGGCCCGGTTACAGGTCTACAACATGCTGGTCCAGCGTCAGGCTGCAGTACGAATCTCGGCGGCTTTCCGTGGCTGGCGGCTACGACAACAGGCAGCCTACTGACCATGAAGGAGTATTTTACATGGTCGTTTGTGATCGTGATTCTCGCAAGAGCCGCAGACGAGTGCATTACCGCCTTTAGGAAACAAATGCATGTGAAGGTGTTTGCCTACAGAAGTAGAAGATATCAAAGATGGTTGGTGGGCAGATTTGCTTGGCTGTCGACCGCTGCCTTCAACACTGTAAGACCACAGACACCACCCCAGACACCACCATGCCGCCTCTCTTGGTCCGAAGGTCCCATGTGACGTACTCAACAAAGATCCCATGCCATGACTCCGTGATAATTGTTTGCCATATGTGTTTGCTTTCCCCCTCCTGCTCTTGTCTCCTTGACCTTGGTATGTCTATCCATCTTATCCTCTTTTCTTCTCCTCACCATTCACAATGGGTCCTGACCACTTATGAGGAGGTTGTTGCCTTACATGAGGTTACGATTCCCCAGCCTTTTGCTTGGCATTATTGACTGCATTGAAAGTGCTTTTCTCAGTTTGGGCAACAGTTTCCTTGACTGACATATTTTAGCCAATTTTAGCCATGATCCAAATGCTGATGGATTGGCTGTGGGCCCTTTGTATGATAGGTGAAACAGCAGCAGCGAAGTGCCCGAAAGATTCAAGCACATTGGCGCTGGCATCGGCTGTGGCAGGTCATATACTCAGACATCAGACACTGCGCTGTCAGTGTGCGGCAAGTTGATTGATAAGAAACGTGACTTCAGGTGAGTCAGCATTCATCATGAGTAACTCATCTTGTTGGCCTTAAGGCTTATCTTCGCTATCGAGAGAGGGAGCGGCAGCGGCAGCGAGCAGCCCGCCAGATCCAAGCGTCGGCTCGGAGCTTTTTGTCGGTGCAAGAACTGCAGCGGCGCAAGCAGGCGCGACATTCACGCGTTCTTGGGCCCGAAGGCCTGCAATTAGTCATTGCCGAACACTTGCCGTACACTTGCTTTGGAGAGCTCACATTGCATAGCGAGACTTTGTTTCAATCGCTCCGAACATCTTCCTGACCGCAGCGCGACCGCAGCGCTGTTGCTGGCCAGATCCAACGTCACGGTGCCGCCAGTATGGTCCAGAAGCACTTCCGCGGTTGGTGCAGTTGGAGGCGTTGCTGCGTAGTTTTATCAAACATTGCTCAGAGACCGATTTTCTTGGAAGGAATGAATGGTTTAGGTCGGATTCTTTCATCACTTTGTTCATGATCCAAAACTCTGCCACGTACACATTATTTGCCCCGGAGATGGGGAGCTGGGGAATTAGAGAGCAAAGGGAGCTCTCCCATCTCTCTCACTTTGGAAGTGAGAAACAACATCCAGCCATGAGCAAAGTTGACTGTTGGAAAATAACCCCCGTCATATGGAGATGTTTGGGGCAAATCTATCGGGGGTTGTTATTTGAACATAACATTGCTTGATTTGTGGCTGTAGACTTTTCTGTCTCAAGTTAAGTGAGGCGCTTCCAGAAAGGAAAGCAAGCTGCTTGTCGGCTTCAGAGATGGTGGCGCAAGAAGAGGCGCCCGACAATGGTGGCGGTCAAGGAGTCTGCAGCATGCAGTGCATCAGCACTTTTATCAGTTCTCCTGACCCAGCAGCTGTCCTTCACTGCTCGCTTGAGTTCTTTCTCTGCAAGATTTGAAAACCTGGTTTCAGGACACACCCTTGGGTCTTGGGATCCTTCATTGCTGTTTTTGCCACCAAGCCACCAAGCATGTCGTTCTTGCTTTTCGTGCCACGAAAATCCGAGAGGCTGTACCTTGCATGGCGACGGCTCCGGAAGAGCGCCGTGAAGTTGCAGTCCTGGCTCCGGGGAAAGCAGGTACGAGACGAGGCGCCCTCGCGTCGGACGGTTTGGGACTGTTTCGGTGGGCTGCGGGAGGCGCCTGACACGAAAGAAAAACGAAAGCAGCCATTGACGTGACATGAGCCCTTCTTGTGCTGTTCTGGTCAAATTTGAGAAAGACGCTTGACTCTTTAGCTAGGCTACTACTCAATTGTTGATGGATTGATTGGCTGTGGGCCCTTTGTATGATAGGTGAAACAGCAGCAGCGAAGTGCCCGAAAGATTCAAGCACATTGGCGCTGGCATCGGCTGTGGCAGGTCATAGACTCAGACATCAGACACTGCGCTGTCAGTGTGCGGCAAGTTGATTGATAAGAAACGTGACTTCAGGTGAGTCAGCATTCATCATGAGTAACTCATCTTGTTGGCCTTAAGGCTTATCTTCGCTATCGAGAGAGGGAGCAGCAGCGGCAGCGAGCAGCCCGCCAGATCCAAGCGTCGGCTCGGAGCTTTTTGTCGGTGCAAGAACTGCAGCGGCGCAAGCAGGCGGTGAAACACACAAAAACCTGAAGGTTTCTTTGGTCTTTTGCTTTGGGCAAGACCTTTTTGTTCAAAGGCTACACCAAAGGGGGCTTTTGGCACCGAAGGCGCCAAGTCGTGCACCCAGGGGACCTTTTGACCACCTTGTTAGGCCGCTGCAAAGGCACGCGGACCGCCTGTCACCTCGGACTCAGCAGTGCCTGGAGCAGCTTGGCTAGAGGGGCTGGATGGATCGATACGAGTTCAATGTGCACCTTGGAGCCTTTTTGCACATTCCTGAACAAATGATGAGAGTTTTGGGTGTGGACCAAATGGATGAGGTGCAGACAGCGCCGACGGTCAGCAACCACAATGCGGAGCCTCCTCGCAGCGTCTTGAACGGCTTTTGTGCACATCTTTGTAGCCCTTTGGTCAGCCTGGAAGGGAAGGTCAGGGCCAGACGCACAGGCGCGGCTGCAGTGGCTAGACTGGTGGATTACACTTGCCAAGCTAAGCCGATTGGTCAAGTGTGCTTGAGAAATAATCCCCGCAGTTGAACATTACAACCTCTCCATGCGGGGGGTTTATTAATCAAGAGTCTGCATCTGCATCTATAGAATACTGTATCTTGCACTTGTATGTTGCGAGAGGATCAGGTAGACATTCTTTCATCCAGACACTTTTGTGCGCAGCAGGTGTACATCCCAAGGGCATGGGTTTGGGTTGCGTGGTCTTTGGCGATGGACCTTTGCCGCACTTTCCGGAGGGGCGATACTTTGAAGTTCGTTGCCCGGCTGAAGAATCTACATTCGGCTTGTGAGTTCGTATGTCCATCCAGCAGACATTCTTCTGAGTTTGATGTCTACATTCATTTCGTACATCCACTTGAGAGAGAGAGAGAGAGACACATTTTTGCATTCGACTTGTGTTGTCGTTGAGAAGTCTTCTTTTCACCTCTCTTTGGTCCGGTCGGACCGGGAGAGAGACCCGGTCCAGCCGCAGGCATCGAGGAGGTGGCCCAGGACTTCCCAGACGGGTTGAACCTCGGTGTGGCTTTGAAGCTCCCGATGGCACGGCCCAAGGAGCCCTACGCCACCTGTGAGGAGGCCTTGGTGGGTTTCTGGATGTTTCTGGTGTGGGTGGTGCGTGTTCGGCAGGGCTTTAATGATTTTCCTGGTGGGACTGAGCTTTTATTGAGCCATGTGGTTCATGATCTTTAGCTGGTTGGAAGCTGGGCGTTTTTTCGTCAGGTACCCAGATCCTTCTGCTACGGCTTCGATGGCATGGCACATCGATGCTTGCCCAAGAACGCAGACCTTATTGACTTGTTGTGAACGAAGACCCCAGAGGATATGTTGGTGTAGCAAGATTTATCATGCGTTAGTCAAGTCTGTGTACTCCTTCCAAATCTTTTCCAGCCCCCACGCGACCCTTTTTTACTCAGGATGCGACCGAGAGGATTTGGAGGCCATCGACTGGAGCCCTGTGGATTTGGAAGTCGGGGATGTGGTAGGGATCCTTGTGACCAAACAAGGCGTAATGCAGCTGAGCCTTGGAGGAAGCTACTTTGTTTCAATATGGAGGAGTGACTAGGGGTATTTGAGATTTCAAGTTGATCCATAGTCACTGGGCTTGTTTAGTCCTCAGTTTAGGTATACTTGTTGGCTGTCTTGATCCGACGTGTGAACTTGCCATCTCAGGATAGTGAATGGCATTTTAGAGGTCTTCTCTATTGATGGCTTGCCGGACCAAGACCTTTTTCCACTGGTGGAACTCATGGGCAACACTGTGGCAGTGCCTTGGGCCCACCATTTTTTTGTGGTCATTGATTGAGGTCGTTGTTCGTGTTGGTTTGGTGGTCCAAGGGCGCTGATCACCCTCCAGTCGTCTCCAGTCGTCTTCACGGCGGACCTCTCGCCCCTGCGGCTCAGGTCTCCTTGCGCCCGGGAGCATCGCCACCGGCGGTGCGCCCACGTGACCCGAAGATGGCCTCCGCGCCCACGGTCCAGGTGTGGCCGTAGCGCAGGTGTCCGCTCGACGGAAGTGCAACTGAACTGACTGCCATTCTCAAAGTGGTGAGCTGGCCAGACTGTTGGTTTGTGCTGTTTGCTTTCTGTAAGATATGCCAAGTTCAAATATTCTTCTATATTCTTCTGATGGCGCAAAGTCAATGCGCAATGGCTAGCATAGGATCGACTGACCGCGTTCGCGAATGCTAGTATCAGCTACTTGTAGCTCCTGTCACACTCAAAGCACGAGGGGAGGCTTGGGGTGGCTCAATTTCACATTGCTTCATATGGCTTCACCTTCTTGGAGTTCAGCACACATCGACACATCAAATCATTGTTCCGTTCAGTCAGCACAATGTGTTGATCTTAGCTGCACTTAGCCTGTTGCCTCTTTTTGTTTGAATTCATCTCATGTATGTCCCGCAGGGCATCTCCTTATCATCCTGCTTCATCATGTCTCATCGCTCGTGAGCCGGCCTGCGTGTCAGCCAGATAGCGCCCAAAGAGTTCTGTCAACTGCCCTGCAATCTTGAGTTGTAGTTGTGCATGCTTACTCTGTGTAATTGACACCAGCCATCCCTTTGGTGGCAGGTGAACGCAGCTCCGGAACCACCTCCATCAGTGCCACAAGTGCCGTCCCTTGGCTGTCCAAGATCTTGGGTTTGACGGAAGACAGCGGAGTGTTTCTCTCCCCTGACTGCCGCATCTTACGCTTTCGTTCAGTCGAGACTCTGCTTGACCATGTGTCCAGACCTGCACTGCAAAGGGTGTTGGTGATGTTGGTGAGATGCACATTTGTGTCATTTTGGAGCAAGGACTGCTGAGATGTCCTCCAAGGGGGCAGCGCCCCTTACGACCTTGAACCCGGGGGCAGTGCAGCCTTCGCAAGTGCAGCCTGCTGCAGTGCAGCCTGCTGCAGTGCAGCCTGCTGCGGTGCAGCCTACTGCAGTGCAGCCTGCAGCAGCGCAGCCTGCAGCCTACTTGATTCAAACTCCAGTGCGCACTAACCTTTTCATTTGAATGCGCCTTCACAAGTGCATTTGCATAAGCACACGAGTGTGAAGATGTTCTTAGTTGCTCATGAACCTTTCCGCAGAATATCAGAAACGACACCACCACGCATTTCAGTTCAGTTCTGCCGATGGAGCGGCCCAGCATGGCACCAAGGGGACGCTTTTCCACTCGCCGCAGCATGGCGCCTGCTCCGAAGGCTGGAAACGGTCAGAGTCGGAGCTCGGAACGTGCGGAGATGGAGGGCTTGAGAACTACAAGTCGTAGCTTCTAGCTAGCTAGTCGTATGGCCAGGAGCTACTATATAGTCGCGTCCTTTGCTACTGATAATAATGCCCTTTGCTACTAGTAGCTCTATATATATATATAGATTCAAACTTTAACCTATACATAGAGAATTTTTCCACGGATACAACAATTGGTCAGACGTGATGAAATCCCTTCGAACCAAATCCACGTCTGTGTTTGTGAAGTAGCTTTCGATTCGCCTCACCACGTCTATCTGCCCCGAGTTGTATAGGTTCATGGGTGCAGATGAAGGGCTTTGCCTAAAGCAACACATGACTTGCTTGGGTTGTGTTGGTGGGATTTGGAGAGACTCCGCTATAGGAGTCTCATGAACGCGAAAAGGGAACTGGGTTCACGAGGTGTTTCTTGTCCTCCTACCATCCTTGGGTACTCCGATTCTTTGGCAAAGGCAGCGCCAGAAGCGTCTTCATCAGGGCCAGCGCAAGCAGTGATGCCTCCGCACCTTGGTTGTTTCACTTGAATGAGGGTGCAGGCACGTGATTTCTCTATGCACAGTCTTTTGAATGTGCAGGATTGCAGGTGACCGGCGAGTTTTACGAAAGCTCCGAGATTGGGGGTCAAAACCACTGACTGGTGCGACTCGATCAGGACTCAGGGTGGCTGAATCCAAAGGACTCACTTCACTAGTGGGGGCGAAACTTCGAAACCAATCCATCGCACCTGTCAAACCAATCTCTCCCAGAATTGGTTTTAAGAGAAACCATTGTTTTCATCCCAAAATTGTGGGTTTCCTTGAAACCAATTCTGGGAATCTCAAACCAATCGATTCCGAGAAAACGCACAGTTTCAGCCGTCACTGAGGACTGAGACACTGCCCACGTCGCATTCAGGCGCCCCACGACGCTCCGCAGCACGGGAGTGCCTTGGTATCTGAAGAGTCTTGAAACCGCCGAGAGCCGCGAAGGAAAGGTCTGGTCTAAAAGGTCAAGGGATTGGCCAGAAAGCAAACCCGCGGTAAATGGCCTTATATGGCCTAGTATGGCTTTTGAATGGGTCCTGTCGGCCTGGGCAGACTCTTTGCCGTTCTGCTAGCCTGCTTGAAGTAGGTTTAGAAGGCGTTTCTCTTTTTGGCTAACTTCAACCAAACTCACATTCACATAACGTTAAAAAAGCCTTGCTTGCCTGACCACCTAGGGGTCGCTTCTCCTCCCGCCGGAGCATGGCGAAACCTGCTGCCGCGCCAGTCAAGGCTAGGACTGATGGATTTCTCGAGACAAGAGACTGATTGATTTCTCGAGAGTGTTGCGGTCCCGCAGATATATACACATCGTATATAGGTGTTTCCGACTCGAATTGCCTTGACTTCCATTTTGCGAAGCAGCTGACTGGAGGCTACAGGGGCCTTCTATGCACCATTGCTCAGCAAACAGATGCAGCTCTCCAAGGCGGGACCCGGCTCTCGAGTGAGCACCGACGACGGCGGAGCGCTGACGTGACGCGTGCCTGTGACGCGTGGAGGAGTGACGAGCCGTATGGAGGAGTTGTCGATTTGGTGATGACTCGACAAGAGAGGAACAACTCACACGAGTGCATCGCTACTAGTAGCTAGAATCTACTATATAGTAACAAAGGCATTACTAATTACAACGAGTAACAAGGGCATTACAAGGGCTACTAGGAACAACTGCATCACTACTAGTAAAAAAACAAAGAGGGATCTCTGCAGGGTTCGCCTTCTGCAAAATTGTTGCAGGATGGGAATTCCGTTCGACACAAGGATGAGACAGGGCAGCAGCTATACGGTGGTTTGGACGCAATTGCTGCTTCATGTAGCAATGTAGCCATGGAGTATACTTGGCTGTTGCAGTTTCTACCTTTGGTGTTGTTAATTCTTGTTTTTGTCTCTTTGGTCAGAGTCAGTTTCAGTAGCATGGTGTCCTTCCATATGAGGTGGTTGTATCCGGACAAGTCAGGTATGTGTGCTCCTTCTCAGGTATTGCTGTTGGCAGCAGCCCTCTAGCGCCGCTTCCAGGTGGCCGCTATTTCGAGGTGCGGGTGGACAAGGTCCGGAAGGTGCGGAGGGCATTTTCCGATGTGCAGAAAAGGGGACTTTTCTTTTTTTATTGGCGGGGGGGAGCTTCCTTGAAGAAGCGCTCGCACCAATGATTTGGTTCCCGGATTTTTTGGGAAACTTAACTTAGAACGCTCATTGTCGTAAGCATCACAGTGCAGGGGTTTTGTGGAAGTAGTGAGTCTTAAGAAGATTGAAGCAGCTTGATTGGATCATGTGAGCCATGCTAGACTTCAACACAACATTTCACGTCTATTTGCAAGGATCCCATCACAAGGCGAGGAACACAAACCTACGAAGTCGGCCCGCGAAAGCCGCTCTCCGCTGTTCTTTCCTCGCATTCTTAAAACTCTGACAATCGAGGAAGGTCTTGCAGTCCGTAATGAGAAAAACACGTAAGAAACAACAATAGTTAAGTTATATAGTGCTATATGGTCAAATTATCGATTTATTTTTTTATTCAACATTTACGTATTCCTTCCTGATGGTGCAGGGCATGAGCGACGGCCTTGCATTGGGCTTCACCTTGGTTCCTCCGAGCGAACTAGCAGGTGGCTGGACGGCCGCTGGTGGCTGGCGAAAGGGAAGTATTTGGACAGAATGATCAGAACCAAGACTAGTCCCAGCCTGGAGAAGTTCCTTTTTCTCCAGCTCGGGAGCGTTTGCACCAAGAACGGTTCTTGCTGAAAAATATCCCGTCAAGCCTTTGCAAGTCTTAGCAAGTCTCAGCGCTCTCCAGAGGCTCCCTCTGTCTCCTTTGCGTCTCGTTGAGCAAGTCGTCCGGTCGCCGAAGCTCCGGTCGTCCACGACTCGTCGCGGGGTGGTAGTCGGACGAACACCAGGCGAGGAGCTGCACGAAGTGTCAGACACCTTGCCGGAATCGTGGACTGCAGGTGGATGGGGGACAGATGGCAGATTGGAAGCGCTTTGACTGCGGCTTTCAGAAAGAAAGAGCTGATCAGAACCTGAATGTAGATGCATTTACAAATGATCAGAGCCAGAATATTTGAATGTATTTTTTTGCATAGCAAAAGGGCATGAAGATTGGAACACATTCCGATTCAGAAACTTCGATTCAGAATTCAAACAGAATCACCCTTACGATGACTGCTTGCTGAAGGGTATGACGGCTTTTATCGATCCGTGAACTATGCAGACAATGATCAGGCCGGAGTGTTGTGGGTCGAGTCATCGAAGAGTGAGTAGTTGCAACCTAATAGCGATGGCCTCCAACCTACCTGCAAACTGTAGATGTTGAATCCTTTGGACATTCATCAGACGGGCGAACTTGTGCCTGAAGTAGCTCAATCTCAGCAGGGTGCATGAAAAATAATTGAATCATTTTGTTTGCGGTGCGAGGCTGAGTTTCACTCGTCTCCTTATAGACTATATACCTGATTCGAAGGGTCGTCCACTCTTCCGACTCTTCCGCAGACCACTTTGACATGGAACCCTTCGAGCCTCCAAGTCAACGATCGAGTGGGGGCAACTTGGCTGAACGGAGACGTGAAGGAATACCTTCGGGCGTTCATGCATCAAAGCAAAGTGGCCAGCAAAATTAAGGTTCGAATCTTTGTTTTCAAATATTCTTTATGCCTTGCGGTGCATTTTTAATGTTTCCTGTGTTCGAGGCACTACTCACACGGGCGGGACAGTTCATGATCCTCGTGAATGGCAAGGTGTGGGGTGAAGGGCACGAGGCAAGAGGAGGAGCAATTGGATCCTTATATTCTATTCACGGTGCACGATGTGAATTCTGAACTCTCCCAAAGTCCAAGACTTGACCATTGAGTGAGTTGCATTGACACAGTGGGTCCTCTGCATGTAAGGAGAATAGTGGTAGCACAAGGTGAATTCACTCGTTGGGTGTTCTTGGACCAACTTGGAAGGTGGTGGTCCGCGTCAGTGATGACTTCCCCTTGGCGGACGTCGAGGCATTCTATCCTGTCGTGGACCTCCTTGGTCGAGTGTGTCAGGCACGACGGCCACTTCTGCCACGTGCGTTTAGGCGGCTTGTGTTTCTGCGGCCACACCACGCGCAGTTGGGATTCACGAGAGGTTTCACGGACACGTTGGCATATAGGCCGGACACGTTCTTACATTAAAAAGTACAAACGCTGGGCCAGAACTTTTGAGAACAGTTGTTCTATGCGTGGAGGAGTTCTTTTTCCGTTCATCATGAGACTTGTTGCAGCTTTCAGGTGACAATGACTTTGGATGTTGTGCCCCCACCAGATGTCACAGCCACTTGGTCAGCGTGCTCATTTTTTGGTGGAATAAATTCCGATTCAGAAACTACGATTCAGAAACTACGCTTGCGAAACTACGATTCAGAAACTACGCCACCGAAACTACGATTTGAAAAAGCACATCAAACACAGGCCCACAGAAGTGTAAGCAAATTCAACACGAAAACACGGCAAACGCCTCATCATGCGGATTTTAGCGGGGGTGGGGGGGTGCGAGGGAATAATAGTGCCACGGGGTGGGTGGGTGATAATGACGTGGGGGTGCAAGTTTCCCCGTGTCGCTTTCAGCTGCAAGGGTGCAGTGTGGCCATTTCATTAGTTTTTCTTTGGCTCCTTCTTGGGGTAATTGCTATGGTGGCCGAATCAGACGGTAGTTTCCGAATCCGGTCGTAGTTTCCGAATCAGGGTTTCCGAATCATAGTTTCCGAATCAGCTGTTAGTTTCGGAATCATAGTTTCGGAATCATAGTTTTCGAATCAGAGGGTAGTTTCCGAATCATAGTTTCCGAATCATGGTTTCCGAATCAGGCCGTAGTTTCCGAATCATAGTTTCCGAGTCCTAGTTTCCGAATCATAGTTTCCGAATCTGTCCTTGACCATTTTGGTGCTCCTTGTCCGTGGCCAGCGTGTGTGGTCAAGCACAAGGAACCGTGATCCGGTCAGAAGCACTTCAAGCTGTACCAAACACCTGCGATGGCTTTTGGGAAAAGGGGGGAGAAGCAGAAAACCCTTGTGTTGTTGTTGGTTCGGACGTGACGTCCGTGCTTGTTGGTCCCTTCTAGTCACGGGGAGTAGCCAAGAAGGTGTTTTGGTCTTAGCGCGTGAGGTGGGTGCCACTTTCACCGGCTTTGATCCCAAGCTTGTGGGCAAGGACCGATAGGGCGAATGGACCGAGCATTTCGTGAAAATGATCAAGGGATGGAGGGACGTGTGTTAATTGCAACGGGTTTACCAGTGTAATTACTTGCTAGTGAGCAGTGTTAATTGCGACCGTTGTGTTTTGTGGCGATGGCTACTGGGGATGGAGCCCGTCATGACCAAATCCGTACCTCCGCCTCCAAAATGGCTGAGTTTTGGTTCTTTGATGGCTCCATAATCTTCGGAGAAGTTGACATGGCATTGAGCAGTGTGTTGATTCAAGACAGCTATTTTCTTGAGCAGTTCGCACAAAAATTTTAAAGAAGCTTTGAGTCCAAGTGGCCAAAGTCGGCAGACGTTTTTGTCAAGTTTAGAGCAACTTTTTTCTGTGAAACTTTGCACCTTAAAAGCCTAGGCATTCCATACATTGCATAGATTTTCATAGCATATGCGAATGGAATGAGTCTAGTTTTCAATCTTGTGAAGCTTCCGCAGCCCGGGTGGAACACCCAACAGCTCAAGAAGGACAGAAATCTCTTGGGCTTCCCAAGAACACCACGGTGGGTTTCACGCCTCTTTCCGCCGTTTCGCCGTTTCCACCACTCTTTGGACCGTTAAAACCCCCTCCCCATTTCCGGGGTGCTTCCCTTGCGACCGGTCACTCCGGCCCTTCCACCAGACGGCGCACCTCGATGGCACGCGGCTGCTTTGCGCGAGCAACGACGCGGGCGGCGATGCCCTGGGGGGAGTGGTCTTCGGCGATGGCCCGTTGCCCTGCCGGGGCCGCCCAGAGTTGTGCGCGAGCAACGACGCGGGTGGGCGCGCGTTCGGTGCGGGTGGCGGGTTCAGAGGATGGGCGCGCCAGGGTGGGGAAAGGAGCTTCATGAGAGAGATGGAGTCAGGGTTTGAATATGTTGGAATCAATCTTGTGGAGTCTGAAGAGAGGTCCTTCAATGAGGCAGGCTTGGTGAAGAGTTTCTGGGGCGGAGATGTGCTCATGTCAAGGGCAGGTCAGTGCTATTCAGTGGGGCTTTGGACTCATGGACAAGCAGGATTTCAGGTCATTGGCTGGATTTCAGACATTGGCAGCCTTCGTGAAGTGTTTGCTTGAGGATCTTTTGGAAGTCTTCAAACCATACCAGATTCACATCACACAGCTCGCTTCACACTTTACTGCATGTGCCAGTAGGAAGCATTTTGGGTTCCCCATATGCCTGGACCCAGCACTGCGCGCTGCCTCCAAGCGCTTTTGCTTCAGGCACGGGCCCCGACGGCGAAGCCTACTTTGAGGTCGTGGTGCAGGAGCTGCGACAAGGAGCGAACTCCCGAGCCGCGGGAACCACCGAGCGGCGGAGCTGCGGGGAGCTGTTCGGGTTGAGGAGGCTGCCCTTTGGTACGTTCGAGTCGCGTCCTCTTGGTCCTAGTAAGGCCAGCGCCCCGTACGTAGCGTCCGAACGCTCCGTTCGTAGCGATGCCCTTTGTTGCTAGTAGCTTATAGCTTCTTGTTGGCTGCGAATGTTGAGACGCTATTTTTCCCCCGTGGCCAAGCAGCTGGATGCTGGACATGCTCTTGTAGGTAGATAAACAGTCATGACATGGGCAGAGTGAAGACCTGCTTCAAGGAGGATCAAGGAATACAGACACTATATAATGCTGGTTTTGGGGTGGTGGTCAAGGTCTGCAAAGACATGTTTTGGGTGAGAAGCATCTTCACGCCATGCACACATACAAGAATTCAGACGCGTGGCATGTTGCAAGCGTGGCATATCGGGTACGATGTCCACGCGACAAAACCTTGTCCAATCTAGTTGGTGCGAGGACCAACCTCTAGTAACAAGAAGCTAGTAGTAACAAGTGCATCGCTAGTAGTAACAA